CCGGCCCGGCCGCCCGAGCAGGCCGCGCGCGGGCCGCCGGGCCCGAGGCCGGAGCCATGGGCGAGACCAAGATCATCTACCACCTGGACGGGCAGGAGACGCCGTACCTGGTGAAACTGCCGCTGCCCGCCGAGCGCGTCACCTTGGCGGACTTTAAGGGCGTTCTGCAGCGACCCAGCTACAAGTTCTTCTTCAAGTCTATGGACGACGACTTCGGGTGAGGATGGCCCCCGCCCCGCCTCCGGGGAGCCCCGGCCCCTCTGCCTTCTATCTAGGTCCCGACGCGGCCAGTTTGGACTTCCCTCGCTAGGCTGGCTTCTAGCCCCACTCTGGCTTCTAGAGGGCGACTGGGCCCATTCGGACCCCCCTTGGCTTTTTGGGGGGCTGGAGTTACAGCTCTTCTGGGGACTCCCCCTTGGCCTCTTGAGGGGGGACCTTGGTCTCTCTAGTTTAGGGGGACATCCAGTTCCCCAAGAGCAATCAGAGTTCCTGCAAGCCAAGCCCCTCACCTTCTCAGAGACCAGTGGCCACATAGACACACACCCCCAATACCCAATTCCAGAGCGTGTCCCCAACCCTCCTCCTGCCGGGGTAACCACCTTTTTAGCATAAACTTGGGGTGTTTGGCAGTCGGCCTTGGCCCTCATCTTTTTAGCTCCCCAACTCAGAGCCATATTTGGAGTACCCTGCATCTGAGGGCTATGCTGGGGGACTTTGAACTGGGGGGAGGGGACTTGGAGGGTGCTCAGACCAGCCTGGAAGCTAGGGTCTACAGACCTGGTGTTTACTTAGCTGTCTCCCCTCTCCCTTGGGGGCTCTTCGGGACGTTGTCAAGGGAGCAGAGCGCCTGGCCCCTGAGGAGGAGTCTTCACTGACCCAGGTGCCACTCTCCCCTCAGCATTGGCGCCGTTTTCCTCTAGATGGTGGCCAAGGGGAGACGTGGGGAAGAGTCTCTGGGTGTTCTTCCCCTCCCGGCGGGGTCTTCCCTCTACCCAACTCGGGCGGAGTTTGGAAGCAGCTCCTTCCCCTTTAAGAGGGGATGGAATGTTGAAGCCGGAAGGTTCTGTAGCAGCTGGCCTGGGAGGGGGAGCCTGGTTGATCCCCTCACCCCTCCCCAACTCCCAGGGGACTGGGGGATGGGGAGGCCCCCACACTAACTGGGCGCTGGGCCTGGAGGCTGTGGGGAAGGCCTCACTGGGCCTTTCAGGCCTGAAGGCCACCTCCCCAGCTCTAGCCCAGGGCTTGCACTGCTCTTTGGAGCTGAGACCCCAGAGCTAAGTGAGGGGAGACATTCTTCTCCCTGGTGTTTGTCAGCCTGGCTTCTCTCCCAGGCCCCAGGCCCTCCTAGCCCCAGGAAGCAAGCACCTTCTATCTGCTGCCTGGCATGTTTTGTTGTCACCTTCCACCCTGGAACTATGTGTGAAAGTGCTTTGTCCAGTGGGGAGTGCTATCTATATTCTGACTATTCTTGTTTCTGTTGTTCCGCCCCTGGGTCAGGGTACTCCTGGTGGGTGATGATTGTCTGGCTTCAGTCCAGAGGCAGACAACCCTGATTGGAAGATTCTGAAGAGGGATCGATCTTGAAGGGGTGGGGGGTGACTTGAAGAGGGGATGGATGCCTTGGCTTGGCAAGAGAAGAATGGGGTTAGAGGGGACCAAGATACTGCCTCAGGATATGGGATGGGGGGAAATCAGCCATAGTCCAGTGTGCTGGGGCCCACCATGGGGACAGATGCTTTGAGGGACTAGAGTAGGCCTGTGTCTCCACCCCCCACTTATCCCTGGGCACACTCACTGGGTCTTGCCGTTGCCTCCTAAGCCTAGACCTCTTTGGGCTGCCTCCCACTCTCCCAAGGCTGCGGTTGAGCCCGGCCTTATGCTGCAGTCATAAGAGGGGGCCCCTATTACATCTGCTCACTGTTTACTTAATATTTTTCTTTAAATCAACCATCAGTCCATTCTTTTTCTCACCTCGACCCAATCAGTAATATGAAATCACTGGTCTGATTTTTTATTTATATTTCTGTCTAAAATATGTTAAAAATAAATATTTAACTGTTGAACTAAGCCACGTTTATTCATGTACCACCTGAAGCCATCTTGTATATATCAGTGGTACTTGAACTACCCTTTACAAAATATCAGAGTTGACCATTTTAGCTGGGTTGAGAACAATGTGCTAAAAATGAAGTGGAGAAGATTGATTCTGTTTTTATCCCCAGAAGGAAAAATGAATAGGAGACCTAGTAGGGCTATCTTGTCACAGAGGTCTAATAGCGGAGGAGTGTATATATATTTCATTTATTTAACAAACTCTTTTTATGGTGCTTACAGTGTGCAAGGCACTGATTTAAATGCTTTTTAATCTTTGCTCATTTAATCCTCATAACAGCCCTGTGAAATAAGGAGTACTATCCCAGTGTACAAATGAGGAAACTAAAGTACAGAAAGTTTAAGTAACTTGCCCGAGGTCACACGGATAGTAAGTGGCAGAGCTTGATTCGACATCAGGAACCTGGCTCCAAAGTCTAAAGCCTTTTTTTTTTTTTTTTTTCCTTTTTGTCTTTTTTTACTGACCGGTAACGGAATCGCAACCCGCAGTGTCGCGCCCGTACCGGGGACCGGCAATGGAATAGCAACCCTCGGTGTTGCAGCCAGTGAGCGGGAACCGGTCTCCACATGGGATCCGAACCCTCAGCGGGAGCGCCGCCGCGCTCCCAAGCAGCGTACTCTCCAGTGCGCCACCGGGCTGGCCCCAAAGTCTAAAGCCTTAATTGTAGTTGTTATTATTATCATCATTTTGCAGATGGCATCCTCTCCAAGGGAGGTGGTAAACATTAGTAAGCTATAGAGGTGATAAAGCCACCGCTGATCCACAAAAGGAGGGCCAGGTGGAAGCTGGCAACCCTGACTGACTGAAAGGGAAAGTAGGTCAGAGGAGGAAGGCTCACTGTAGACTCACCCTCTGAGGTTCTGGTTGTGAGGCCTGAGGACTTCCCAAGCCCCATCTGGTCTCCAGAAGTACTTGTCAAGCTCAGGGTAGGCTCAGCCATCTTAAATTATTTGAGAAATGGAGAAAGGATAAACATTTCAGCACTGAGAAGATGGTAGATAGAAGAATAAGGTATTCTCTGCTAGTCTGCCTTGAGCTGTGGAAGGGGGCAACATGGCAAGTTGGACCACTATGTTGCTCCTCCCTTCATGTCACACACTGACCTCCCTCTGGACCTTCTGCCCAGAGCACTCTTCTTCCCCTGTCTCCTCTAAGTTCAAATTCTCCTGTCCTCTAGGTTGAGCTTCTTCGTGAGAACTATTGTGGCACTTTATCCTCTTTGTCCTTACATCCCTACGCAGCTCCTAACTAGGACTGACACCTAAGTAACACTCAGCAGACATATATCCACTGAACACATCTGCTGCTGTTACAGCTCTGACCACTTTCCACTTGAAATACATTTACACGAACTACCCACTGGACTGTAACCTCTCTGAAAAAAAGGCTGGCTCCAGACCTAATGCTTTACAAGGTCTATATCATGGCAAACACAGGACATAAAACCCACTGGGCTTTCGACAGAAGCTTTTTAATTGGATGCATGATGAATGATGAGCAGATTCTTTTGGTCCCTGCCCTTCAGGAACTTACACCTAGTTAGAAAAAGAGTGTGTCTATACTGGCCAGCCACCCCCCACCCCCCAAAAAAAAGTGTTTGTAGAAAGAATGCCAAACATACTTTGAGACTGTGGATCCTGCTAAAAAATTAACAAACTTAGTAACTAGCTTTTATGATATTCCTAGACCATGCCAGGCATTTAAGAATCCCATTTACCAGGATGAGACAAAACCTTGGAAAAGTTAAGGAACTTCTCTAGATTAGGAGGGCTAGTAAGTGGTAGAATTGGAATATGAACCCATTATTTGTCTGATTCTACTTGGAGTATGTGTATGTGTGTGCGTGTGTGTAAATGCTATGGAACCCTGAGCCATTCGGCTCCACGGTGGGAGGGTAAGGCCTGTCTGAAGTCCCCAAGGCTGCCGAAGATCAGCTGATTTTTGTGAGTCAGCAGAGCCTTGGCGACCTGTCAGTGACCCCCAGAAAGAGGAAACATCTGTAGTGTGGAGCAGTGTGGTGGGGCCTGCTAGGGAGGGGGAGTGGGGATTCAGCAGCGGATTCCCACCACAGGGAGACCCTCTCCAAAGCAGATCATAGAGCACATGCCATGTGGCCCACACATCCCCTTTTCCTATGAGTCGCAGTTCCCAAGGAGAGCTGCAAGCTTGGGGTACCATGTGGCCAGACTGGCTGGTGGGTCTGAGCTGCCTCTATGTCTTTTCTTTCCAGCCTATTTTGCCTGTAGGCTTTCTGCCATGGTGTACTTGAGCAGGATGATTTGAGCTGCTTTCTTAGAGTCACTGTGGGATTGGAAATGGTGGAGGAGCTAGAGCTAGATGGGAGGGAAGAAGTCGGGCTCGGCCTGCGTACTTGGCTGTGAGTCCAAGAATGTGAGCATCACAAAGAGCCAAGCACGTTCCTGGCCCTGGGCAGAAGCTGCTCTAAGAGCAAGGGAGGATTAGGCTTCCCAGCCTCCTTCCTTGCTGTTCTTTTTCTCTGCTCAGAACTCCAGTCATGTGTCTTGCTCTTACCCCTGGTCAGGTCTTCCCAGTCTGTACTGGGTGTTTGAGAGTCTAACAATCCTCAAAGTTTTCCATTCCCTCCCTTGGCCCCAGTCCGTAACTGGTGTCTGACTTCTTGCCTTACCGCATTCCCCAGGCCAAACTACATGCCCATGACCACATCCCAACCCCCTCATGCCTCACGGCACTGTCCCACCACTACCTATCCTCCACACAGACCCTCATTACCTCTGTCATTGTGCAGTAAACAATGTGAAACAGTGGAAAGGGTATAGGTTTTGGAGTCATACTAGCCTGGGGTTGAATTCCAGCTCTGATACCTACTAGTTCTGTGACCTTGGATGAGTTACTGAATGTTTCTCAGTTTCCTTACTCATGAAATGAGGATCATATTGTCTACCTAATGAGGCTGGTGTGAACATTATATGTTGTAATTATAGGGAGATAAGATAGTATGATAGGTTAAAAACTATAGACTTTAGAGTCGGAATGACCAGAATTGAAATCCCAGCTCTTCACTTCCTAGTGTTGTGAGTTTAGGTGAATTACTGAACCTACTGAGCTTAGTTTCCCCATCTGTACCTACTTTATGGCATTGTCGTATTAAATGAAATGATACACAGTACTTAGCATAGGGCTTGGCCCATAATACATGCTCGATAAAAGAATACAACCATTACTGTTAATTATCATAATGTCACATGCGGGATGTCCAGTAAATGTTTTCTCTCCTTCTCTTTCCTCATTTCCTTAAATTCCTTATCCACACCTCCTAGAACAATGTCAGGATTCCCAGTTGAGAAGGGAAGGACAATAATAATTGTGTGCTTTTTCCTAATTTCCAGCCCAGGAAAGTCATATTGGCGGTGGGTAAAGCACTCAGGAGATTCTAGGGAATGGCTTGAGGGACAGTGATTTCAGTTGTAATTTGCGATCACCTGGTGACTGAGAGGGTACTCCAGGAAGGCCTAGGCAGGCTGGTGTCTCCCAGGTAGTGCTAAAGTACTGTCCCTGGGTTACTCCCATCCCTGCTCCCATTTGAACAGTCTTGTATTGATGATTTGATTCCCAGCTTAGGGAGGAGGAGCCCCTGAGAGTTGGGACTGGGGGGACCCTCCAATTTCCACCCCAGAAAGTTCTCTCTGACATTTCTCTTTCCCTGCAGAGTGGTGAAGGAGGAGATCTCAGATGACAATGCCAAGCTACCCTGCTTTAACGGCCGGGTGGTGTCCTGGGTAAGGAGACCTCAGCCTTCCATCCTCCTGCATCCTTGTGCTCGGCTGGAGGGAGGAAAGGCATCTCTGAGATTATAGCTGGTGGTTTTATGTTTCAATATCTGAATCTTCTTTTACTTTTCTTTTCTTTTCTTTCTTTTTTTTTTTAAAGATGACCAGTAAGGGGATCTTAACCCTTGACTTGGTGTTGTCAGCACCATGCTCACCCAGTGAGCTAACTGGCCATCCCTATATGGGATCCGAACCCATGGCCTTGGTGTTATCAGCACCGCACTCTCCCAAGTGAGCCACAGGCTGGCCCCTTCTTTTACTTTTCCAACTGAACTGTTTATCATCCCAGATTCTATAGCCTTAATGAAAAGTGGGATAGCGGTGGGAAGGGGGAAAAGGGAGAGACAGAAACACACAGTGGAGACAATAATGTCTCCTATGCACCTTGAGACACTGCCTCAAGTTCCCTTCTGTCACCTACTGTTCTCTGCCTTGGACCTTGGACCACTGACCCTTGTTCTTTGCCCCTACTCCACTTCACCAACCCATGCCTCCAACTACCCCATCAAGCCAGCCATTGGGTCCACTCTGCATCTCAGCTGCCCTTGCGTAGTCCTGTCTCTTCTCCTTTGATGTTTTCTGCCTTATTCTCCCCAGGCTTTCATGCCCTGCTAGAGCCAGCTATCCCCTTTCTCCCTGGTGACCCCTGTAACATAGTACCCACTCATTTTCTCCTCATCAGCTAGTGTCAGCTGAGGGCTCGCACCCAGAGCCAGCCCCCTTCTGTGCTGACAACCCATCAGAGTTGCCACCGCCTATGGAGCGCACAGGAGGCATCGGGGATTCCCGACCGCCATCCTTCCAGTGAGTGTGAACTGAGGGTGGGGAGGGACCATGGGGGAGGGCCACACCAGCTCAGCCCAGGGCTGGGGGAGGGAGCCCCCAGCCTTCCCCCTCCTCCGTAAGTGTTCTCTTCTCTGCAGCCCTCATGCTGGTGGGGGCAGCCAGGAGAACCTGGACAATGACACAGAGACAGACTCCTTGGTGTCTGCACAGCGAGAGCGGCCACGCCGAAGGGATGGCCCAGAGCATGGTGTGTCTTCCCTGTACGGGAATGCCTCCCCCCGCCCCATACCATCCCCATAGCTTCCACCCAGCTACCCCCTCTTTTCCCTACTTCCTGGGCTTGGGATATGCCTGGCCCTCTCTCCTCCCTTTTCTCTTGCATTGGGCACGGGGCTAACCCAGCTGCCTCCATCCCCTACAGCAACCCGGCTAAATGGAACTGCAAAGGGGGAGCGGCGGCGAGAGCCAGGGGGTTATGATAGCTCATCCACACTTATGAGCAGCGAGCTGGAGACCACCAGCTTCTTTGACTCAGATGAGGATGACTCCACCAGCAGGTGGGGCTTTAGTTTCATGGGTACTGTGGGGCCCCTGAGGAGCCCTGAACCCTGAGGATACTGGGCCCTTGGGAGGGATGAGGACTTTGTGTTGGGGACCTGGGCCCTGCAGTGCCTCTCATGGGGCAGGGCTGGGCCAGCCCGGTGGGGAACGACTGTGGGCCCCACAGGTTCAGCAGCTCCACAGAACAGAGCAGCGCCTCACGCCTGATGAGAAGACATAAGCGGCGGCGGAGGAAGCAGAAGGTTTCTCGGATTGAGCGGGTATGGGGCCCGGAATGCTAGGTTTGGGTGGGGGAAGATTGTGAGCCCTTCCCAGGCAGGGCCAAGGCTTGTTCTTCTTAGATCCCTTCCACCTGGCTCAGTGTTTACAACCTTAGAGGAGGGGGAGGAGGTACTTAGAGCTCACCTTGAGGAGGAGCCAGGTGGGAGCAGTGAGTTCCTGCCACTCCTACGTGCTGCTCAGGACCTCTGTCTATTCCAGTCCTCGTCCTTCAGCAGCATCACGGACTCCACCATGTCACTCAACATCATCACAGTTACTCTCAACATGGGTGAGTCTGGTGAAACAACACTACTGAGCACCTACTACATGCCATACACTGGGCAGACTTGAGGAGTTCAGAGAGGCACAGATACGTTCTCTGCTCTCAAGGAACTCTTTCATAAATACCAACTGATACATATCCTGATCATTTCAGTATCTCATGATCAGGGCTGTGAAAGAGATAAGCACAAGGAGTGGTAGAAGCAAAAGATGGTATCAGGGAAGGCTCCCATGATTTCTGAGTGCTCCACTCATTCCCATCTTCAGCCATTGCATCCTTGCTCTGATTTCTGACTTAGGTACTCTCTTTAGAAGACAGCTAGATGTAGGGGGCTGGCAAGTTAGCTCAGTTAGTTAGAGCATGTTGCTGATAACACCAAGGTCCAGGGTTTGATCCCTCTACCAGCCAGTTGCCAAAAAAATTTTAAAAAAGAAGACAGCTAGATGTAGTAAAAAGAGCCCAACTTTGGAATTTAAATCTGAGTTTGAATTCTGGCTCTGCCACTTACTGCCTTAGAAAAGTCATTTAGGGGCCGGCCCGGTGGCGCACTGCTATAGTACGCCGCTTGGGAAGCGCGGCGGCGCTCCCGCCGAGGGTTCGGATCCCACATACAGACCGGTTCCCGCTCACTGGCTGAGCGAGGCGCGGGAGCGACGCCGAGGGTTGCGATCCCGTTGCTGGTCCCGGTCCGGTACGGGGGCGACCCTGAGGGTTGCGATCTGTTGCCGGACACGGAAAAAGACAAAAAAAAGGAAAAAAAAAAAAAAAAAGATAAGTCATTTAAATTCTCTGAACCTCAGTTGACTGTTCTGTAAAATGGGACTAAGAGTCGCTGCCTCACAACCAGCAAAGATAAAATGAAAGCATGGTTATGCATGCTGAACGCAGTGCCTGACTCAGGTTTAGTACATGTCAGTTCTTGTCCCTTTCCACTCTTTTCTAATAAGGGGCTAGGAATTTGGGAAAAAACCGTGCTCCCCCATCAAGGTCTTAAATTACTTCCTGTAGAAAAGTATAACTTCTTGGGCATCTCCATTGTCGGCCAAAGCAATGAACGTGGTGACGGAGGCATCTACATTGGCTCTATCATGAAGGGTGGGGCCGTGGCTGCTGATGGACGCATTGAGCCAGGAGATATGCTGTTACAGGTATCATTGCCCACCCTGGATGGTGGTGTAGATAGGGAGTGGGAGGTGTCCCTACCTTCTATACCCTGTTCATTTAGAGGTCCATTCTTGGTGGGAGGAAGACCCTCTGTCCCACCAAACTCAGCTCCCGTTCTCCCATCCCCAACACAGCTGCTTATCCACTCCTGATCCTCTTTCACAGGTAAACGAGATCAATTTTGAGAACATGAGTAATGACGATGCAGTCCGGGTACTGCGGGAGATTGTGCACAAACCGGGGTATGGATGGAATGGAGCATTGGGGAGGAGGGGACAGGCATTTCTGGCTGTCAGGCAAGGAGCTTGGTCTGTCCTCCACACATCATACCCTCACTAGGACACCCTTGTTTTCAGGCCCATCACCTTGACTGTAGCCAAGTGCTGGGACCCAAGTCCACGTGGTTGCTTCACATTGCCCAGGAGTAAGTGGATGGGGGACTCAGCCCTAAAGCTGGTGCTTGGCATACGTGCACCCTCTTTCCTTTCTTCTTTGTCTTCCTGAATCCCCATACCTCTCCTGTTGGGCCCAGCAGTGGAAAGGGTGGGCAGCACGTGACCCATCATCCTCCCTGCAGGCGAGCCCATCCGGCCCATTGACCCTGCGGCCTGGGTCTCCCACACTGCGGCCATGACGGGTACCTTCCCTGCCTACGGCATGAGCCCCTCCCTGAGCACCATCACCTCCACCAGCTCCTCCATCACCAGCTCCATCCCTGACACAGAACGTGAGTGTCCATCCCTGTCCCCTGGGCCCAGCAGACAGGGCCAGGTGGGAGGGATTGATGAGGGCCCACATGGAGATTCTTGCCTGAGCATCAGAGAGGGCCAGAGAGGGGACTCAATTCATTGCAGCAACTGCAACTTCCCCCAGTGGCCACTCCCTCACCAAACAGTTTTCCTTCTGAACCTGTATTGAGCACCTCAGGAGCCTCAGTTTCCTCTCATAAAATGGGACTAACAGTCTACAGTTCACCAGGTTCCTGTGGGTTTAATGAGAGGATATAAGTGAGGCATTATCACAGTGCGTGGCATAAAGTAAGGACTCTATAAGTTGCTGTCATCCCTGTATTGGTCAGCTGCCAAAAAAAAAAAAGTCTGCCATTTTTTTATTATCATAATATGCACATTATACATTGTGCTAATAAGCACCTTCATTTACATTATTTAATTCTTTTTTCAAATATCCACGTAAGTAGGTATTAAAATCTCCATTTTTACAGAGGGGGAAACTGAGTATCCAAGAAGTCAGTAATTTGCCCAGCACTGGTTCCATAATGATGGTAGAGCTGGAATGTAAACTGTCTACCTAACTCCAAATCTCCTTCTGCCTCACCACTCTGCCTCTCACCCCCAGGCCTAGATGACTTCCACCTGTCCATCCACAGTGACATGGCCGCTATAGTAAAAGCTATGGCCTCCCCTGAATCAGGGCTGGAGGTTCGCGATCGCATGTGGCTCAAGATTACCATCCCCAACGCTTTCATCGGTGAGAGAGCCCCATGGTGGGATGAAAGCTGGTGGGGAGTGATGGGGCAGGGCAGGGAGGAGGGCGGCAAGAACTCCCTCGGGTCACTCCTTTGAGCTGGTACCTCATAGCTTCTGTGAGGCCAGATAAGCCAAGTTAGGTGGGCCTCCTAGTCAACTGGTAGCCTTGCCCCCAGGCTCAGACGTGGTGGACTGGTTGTACCACAATGTGGAAGGCTTCACTGACCGGAGGGAGGCCCGCAAGTATGCCAGCAACCTGCTGAAAGCTGGCTTTATCCGCCACACTGTCAACAAGATCACCTTCTCTGAGCAGTGCTACTACATCTTCGGCGACCTCTGCGGCAGTACGTGCCTCCCCTACCTTGTCTCCATCTCCTGGCTCAAAGTGGGGAGGTGTCCAGGGTTGTGGCAGCAGACTCCAGGGAACCTGGGTGGTGGGGTGGGGCAGCAAAGCTGGGGGCCGAGTTCAAGGCCTGAGAGTTCTGTAGTAGAAGCAGAGTCCAGTCTAGCCTCTTTACTTGCCCTGCATCTCCCTCTTGGGCCTGGCATTGTCTAAGTGCCTGCTCTGTGCCTGGCACCGTGCTGGTTGTTTCTAAAGCATCAATCTTCACTATCTCCTTAGAGGCCCAGCTCAGGGGGATGCTGACAGAGCAGGCCTTTTCCTTCTGACTGGTCAAGGTCTCCTCAGCTGGGAGTGTGGCAAAGGGAAGCATTGGGGGCCTAGGTAGCCCCAGGAACACACAGTCACTCCCCTTAGGACAACAGCCCAGAGGTCAAAGTGGTCATCTCTTTGGCCATGAGCCAAGGTGAGCCACTGCTTCCCTCCACCACCCTGCCCCCATGCTAGCTGCTGGCCTCTTGACAGGTTGATGGCTTGGCTGGCAGGCTCCACAGGCTGCCTCAGAGCCCCGTCTCCTGACTGCTGCCTGGGAAGACTGGGCTGGCTCACCTTAGGGCTTGGAGGAAGGTCTCGTCTGCATCGGGCAAGTGGCTGCTAGGGCAATTACAGCTCTCTCAGAGCTCTGGGACCTGGTGCAGATGGCGTGTGAGCAAGGGGTGTCCCAGGCAGGTAATCAGTCCTAGTGGCCCTTATATTCCCTTCACGGTAGTTCCAACATTGGTGGAGGCAGCCTTGCCCTTAAGGAGTGTACAATTTCCCAGGGGAGCCAGAGTCATGAAATAAGTAACGTTAATAGAGTGAGACAGTGCTGTGAAGAGCCCAGCCTGGCTGGAAATGTGGTGGAGAGCACAGAAGAGGCCCCTAATTTGTTCTCTCTTTCCCCTTCCCACCCCACTCCCACCCTCTCCAGCAGCTTGAGGAAATGTAGTCAGAGCTAAGAGCTTTCTACATGAAGAGGCCCTGAAAGGCCCTAGGCTCATTCTGGACTTGCAATGGGTATATTTTTTAGTTCTAAGTTTAGGGCAGGGCAAAATTTTACCTAAATTTCTCGAAACTGCTCCCCACTCCTAACCAATAACTTCATCTGAAAAGGTAAGGAGAAAGTAAACTCTTAGCTTCTGTTCTGGCTACAGTTTAGGTTGACCTCAGGCTGGTCATTTAACCTCTCTGGACTTCACTTTTTTCATCTGGAAAAAATGTGACAAATGACTTCTTCATAGGATTGCGGTAACATTTGCAAGAGGTGAAGTGTTTTGTATTGTGCCTAATGAATTATAGGTATGTGGTCCCTGATGGCTGTCTGGTATTCCAGCCCTCCACGTTCCCCAGCCTCCCACTCTGAGTGAATAGAAGAGAGAAAGGCCACACAAGAGTTTTGCCCCTCCTTCCAGCCTGCTGAGGAGGGAAGAGAAAGTGCCAAAACCTTGGCATAGGCCTCCAATGGACTGGCTTGGGTGTCAGGATTTAATGAGAATCTGAAATGACGATCAGGACCATCCTGAGGAAGGTCTCCCTGGGGCTGTCTCTGGTAGTGGCAGGGGGGGTCTGCAGAAGGTGTGAGCTCCCTGCCTGTGCTTTTTTCCAATTATGGCCAGAAACTACCACTGTTGCTGTCATCCAAAGCCCACCCACCTGACCTAGGGGGAGCCTCCCTCCCATTCCAGAAGTGTGGGGTGGGATAGACCCAGCTCACCCAGCCCTCCTCTCCACAGACATGGCCAACTTGTCCCTCCATGACCACGACGGCTCCAGCGGCGCCTCTGACCAGGACACCCTGGCTCCTTTGCCGCACCCAGGAGCCGCCCCTTGGCCCATGGCTTTCCCTTACCAGTACCCACCACCCCCGCACCCCTACAACCCACACCCGGGCTTCCCAGAGCTGGGCTACAGCTACGGTGGAGGCAGTGCCAGCAGTCAGCACAGTGAAGGTAAGGTGGAGGGAGACCCCAGGCAAGCTTTAGGCTTCCTTCTTAAGCTCTGAGCATCCCACATTCTGGCCCTGCTTGTCCCCCGCAGGCAGTCGGAGCAGTGGCTCCAACCGTAGCGGCAGCGATCGGAGGAAGGAGAAGGACCCAAAGGCCGGGGACTCCAAGTCAGGTGGCAGCGGCAGTGAGTCGGACCACACTACACGCAGCAGCCTGCGGGGGCCACGTGAGCGGGCGCCCAGCGAACGCTCGGGCCCAGCAGCCAGCGAGCACAGCCACCGCAGTCACCACTCGCTGGCCAGCAGCCTGCGCAGCCACCACACACACCCGAGCTACGGCCCTCCAGGAGTGCCCCCTCTCTATGGCCCCCCCATGCTGATGATGCCCCCACCTCCTGCGGCCATGGGGCCCCCAGGAGCCCCTCCGGGCCGCGACCTGGCCTCTGTGCCCCCCGAACTGACCGCCAGCAGACAGTCCTTCCGCATGGCCATGGGAAACCCCAGTGAGTTCTTTGTGGATGTGATGTGAGCAGGGCCCTTCCCCCACTTCCATCCCACACCCTCTCCGGGCCACTGAGTCCCTCTCTCCATCCGTCCGTCTTTTTTATTTTGGTACCTGAAAGGGAAATAAATGGAACTAAATCCAGGCACGCTAACTGCTCGCTGGGCTCAGCGAGGGCGGGGTGCATCTACCAATCGGCTCTGCAGCCCCTAACCCGCCTCTGACCTCCGTTTGTTCCCTCTGCCCACTAACTGCTGCCAGGACTTCCCAGGATCCTTCACCTCCTGGGACCGGACTTGCTGGTGCTGCCCCTTACTTCTGTCCGCCCCACCCACTTTTAGGAGCTGACCCCAGCCATAACCTTGGGGGCATGCTCACCTCCTTATTTATCCCCTCCTTCTGCCCCCTCAGTTGCTTTTCACCATTCATTCTGCTACATCATCCCTCTATTAACCCCACCTCTTCAGGCATGTGTGCAAATCTCTTGACTTTGCCCCACAGTACTGACACCAAAAAAAATTTGCTTCACCTGCCTTCCTAACTGTTCCCCTGCCTGCTGCCTCAGTCCTGCACCTTAGCTGTAGTCACCTCCAGTGGCCATCCATGCTATCCCTCCCTGTGCCCAGCAGGGATCAGAAGCCTGGAGGGCCCTCTCGGTTGCTTGAGTGGCTAGTGGCTTCCAGGGAGCATCTCTTACTCTACTCCCACCCCATGGCTGCCTTGCATGCTGGTTCCTTCAGACCCCTAACCCTACTAACCAGTGGGCTCATCTCACCTCCCAGCCTGAAACATTTCTTTTCTTTCTTTTTTCCTCCCCCAATTTACCCTGGGCCTGGAGCAGCCAAGAATTTCGGGCTGTTTGACTTTCTGTGAGCCCCCAGCGAGGGGAGGCCCAGCCTCCGAGGAGACCAGGAACCCTGCTTCAGCAGCCCCTCAGGGCTTCCCAAGGATGTCCAGCCCCCACACCCACACTTCAACATATTGAGTCACTAGGCTTCTGGGAAGGGACCCCAGCTTTCTTTACCCATTCATGGGAGACTCTTCTTTCCAGAAAGAGTATTCTCTCTCTCTCTCTCTCTCTCTCTCTCTCTCTCACGCATGCACTCACGCATGCATGCACGCGCGCGCGCCTATGTGAGTTCACTTAAGACTCAGGGCTAGTCCCTGCCCAGAGGGCTGGACCCTCTGTCCCAGTCAACTCCCAGGTTGTGAGGTTGGGCCCCTGACTTTCCCCTTCCTCATGGCCTTCAAGCCTCCCACACATTTCCCCAGCATCTTCCTACCTGGATAAAGCCCATAAGCTGGGTCTTAGGCTGGGCTCAGCAGAGGACTCCCCAGGTGACTGACAGGTCATTCTCACCACCCTCCACGTGACACACCCTTCCCTGTGTTTACATCCACTATGACACCCCAGAGCAAGGACATAGGAGCCTACAGGCCAATTGAGTTTGGGCAGAAGGAATTCTGGGCCTTCTAGACAGACTTCCAAGCCCCAGGTTTTCTTTTTCTTTTTTTTTTTTGGTGGCTGTCAAGTACAGAGATCTGAACCCTTGACCTTGGTGTTACAACACCACACTCTAACCAATTGAGCCAAGCAGCCAGGCTCAAGTGCCAGGTTTTCTTTTTTTTTTTTTTAGCTTATTCTCCACTGTAAACAAATCATGACTTTCTCTTTAAGCCTCTGCTATGAATACTCCTGGCTTCCCTAAGCTCCCATATTTTCAGGGCTGGAGTGTCAAGAGTGAGATGAAGTCCTTAGGGTCCAGGCTTTGGGGTGAACTGAGGTAGGGGCATTTTGGCATTCACTCATTTAACAAATACTTCCTGAGGTTTTAGTGAGCAGAAGGCTGTGTGGAAAGTGTGACTGTGTAGTCTTGCCTGCTTTCTGGGAGCTTTGAGTTTGCTCCCAATCCAGGCCATGGCTTCTTCTAGCCACCACTACAGGGTTGTCTCCTGTACTGTCTGGTTCTGCCTTGTCCATCTCTCTTGAGAATTTCTCCACTATTGTTTATGCCTTCAGTGTCAGTGCTTTCCTTGTTCCATCTTTGGTCCACTTCTCTTTCCTCTCTATTTATTCCCAAAATGATGTCATCCATCCTGATGTCCTCAATTGCCACTGATATGCTGGTGATTCTCAGATATATAGCTTCAACTCCAACTTCCCCCAGTCTTTAGATCTGTATTTTTATTACTCTCTGGACATCTCCATGGACATGTCCATATGGACTCAGCTCATGTCCCCAACCCAAGTGTGTTCCTCCTGAATTGTAATCCTGGCTACCTTCATCACAATCTACGTAGGCTTACCAGCTAGAAATATTTATGGGCTTAAATTCCTTCTTCCCATATCTTACTAGTCATCATATCCATTCCACTCTGAAAAATCTTTCTTGCATTTGGCCCTTCCTCTCCCCTCTGTCTCTACTTTAATTCACCAGAGCAAGGGTTTTGGAGTCAGGTTATTCTGGGTTTGAATTCCAGCTCTGCTATTTTGGTTGCGTGATAGAGTTATTTAACCTCTCTGAGCCTCAGTTCCGTCGTATGTAAAATGATAATAATACCTACCTCACAGGGTTGTTGTGAGGATTTAAGTTAGATATTGTACGAAAAGTGCCTAGCACAGTGCCTGGCACACAGTAGAGTAGGTGCTCAATAAATGGTAGCTATTATTATTATTATCATTATCATTATTACTATTTACTCTAAATTAGTAGTTTAAGGTATGTTGGGAAGATAAAGCTTTTGTGAAGATAGGAGTGAAGCCTTAAGTGCTGGTTCAAGGATTAGAAGTGCCTGTTTTAAGTGCAAGGATTTCAGTTACTTAATGGCTTAATGACTGTGAACACGGTTTGAGGGAGGCCAGATCTTTGTCCTGCCATATCCTGGTTTCTGGTAGGAGGCTGCTAGGGACAGTAAGGTTTGCAACCAGGTTTGCTCTTTCTTGCCATTCCTTCCTTCCATGACTGGCTCAGTCCCTCGCAGGGAAGGCAGCAAGGTATCTCTGCCTACACAAAAGAGCCAACACATTTTTTCAGATCCTGCAAGAATCAGGCAAGCCTTTCAAGTTTGAGTTTCCTTCCTTTCAAATTTCAAGTTTCCTTCTCAGGTTGGATGTGAAGATTAATTCTGTTCATCAGAAAGTGGATTTCAAATCCCATGTCCAACTAAATTCAACTCGCCAACGGTTTTCTAAGCAATGTATGTGCCTGTCACTAGAAGGCACACACAGTCACATATGTATAGCTGAGGAGAACATGGGCACATTCATGGAAAACTTTAGCTGGCCCTGAGGAGGAGCTCACAGTCATGGGCACATTCGTGAAAAGCTTTAGCTAGTTTCTTCCAAGTATTTGCCTCCTCCCTCCTTCCCCTTTCCTTGAGTTTTGAACCCTGGTCAAAGGTTTATGTGTGGAACAAATATATGAGAAAAACTTAGGAAAACCAGAGGTGGTGATAGAAACCAGTAAATTCAGCACAGACACTTCTACTGCCAAGTCGTATGTTTGTGTGTAGAGTGAGGACAGCCAGTACTCGGACTCTGGAGACGGAAAAGACCTATAGCAATCCAAGGCTTAACAGATGGGCTTCAACGAATGACATTAATCCTCCGAGGCTCTTCAAAACGCTGAAATAGGAACAGAAAGGATTGCAGAGACTACAATTCCCAGAATGCCCAGTGAGGATGACAAAGTGGGTGGAGTGGCGTATACTGGGATGTGTGTGCCGGGTAGGGCGGGGTAAGACCACGCCTATCCAGCAGTGGGGCGGTTTCTCTAAGAGAGTCGGTAGTTGTAGTTTAGCTAAACCTAGGGAGCTTAAAATTGTAAGCGAGCAGGCCGAGGGGCCTGCCGGGATTTGTAGTCTACATGCGGGATGGGGGGGTGGGCGCGCACGCGCAGCTGACGCCGGGGCGGGGCCGCGGCACTGCGGTGAAAGCCGAGGCAGCGGGCAGGCGAGCGGGGTGCGGGCGGACATCTTGGGATCCGGAGAGTGTCTGGGCCGGCAAAGCAGGGGTCCACGGACACCAGGTGAGCTGGGGATCTGGACGTGTGGGGGGGGGGACGCCGCGGGTCTCCTGTCCCGCCGCCCAGCGTTGCCTTTCCCTGCACGACGCTGGGCGGAAAGCTGCCCACGCTCGGGAGTGGCCTCAGCCTTCAGACCCGGGAGGGAGCTGACGGTGGGGCGGGGGCGCCCGGGGCGCGGTTGCAGGACAGGCGGAGAACGGTGCCCTCCACCTGACCCTTCTGGCGCCTCCCGGGAGAGGGAGACGTACTGAAATCCTCCCAGAGCAGGTACGCCATGCGGCGCCCCCCTCCCTAGGGTCGTGACAACCCCCTTAACCACCGCCTCCGCGCCAGGGCAATTTTCCCACCTCCTAGGACAGTGACACCCCCTTGTGCCGCTTCCTTGGACTGTGACAGGTCTCTTAGCGTGCAGCACCCCTTCCTCTCAGTTCAGTGACACCCCGCGGCTCTTCTTTCTCAGACCTATGATAGTCCCCGCACCCAGTGGCACCATCTTTTCCCGTGAAGTCCTCCTCCCCAGGGCGAAAAGCCCACTACGCTCTCATGCCTGCAACTGAACTCCAAAGCAGGCTGCATCTCCCCAGCTTTCCTTTATTCACCATTGTCAATTTCCCCGCCGGTTTTTCCTCCTCAAAGCACTGACCTTTTCCATGCCGGAAACTCCTTCCTGTAGGTGCCCCCACCAGCCCTGTTTGCTGCCATGGGCTCACCTGAGTTCACTGCCTGGCTGTTGCTGCCAGTCTTTTCCCTTAACTAAATATTCCATCTCTGGCTGGGGCCCCCACCTCTGTTTGTCTGGTGCCCTGAGCTAACTACCACTTGATACCTGTGGACTTGGTTCTTTGCCCAGGGCTCTCCTCCATATTGCATTTCCTCTCCCAGCCTCTTTGGGAGGGAGGGATGGGATGCATCTACCGCCTTGGGAGACCTCTCGCTGGTCTGGGAGACTGACAGCCACAGTAAAATGCTTTATTTTCCAGTTTAGAAAAGTCTGCTAAACTGCCTCTGTGAAATTAATACTAACGTTAATCCAGGAACTCCAGAACCCAATTAACCCCTTTCTCTTCTCAAGTGGTCTAAATTTGACCCAAGTAATTTGCATAATTCAGGCATTCTGACATCCCTGCCCCTTGCTTATAGGTACTCAGACCAGAAGTGAGTGACTCTATAGGTCTGGAATCACAATTTCAGCTGGATTTTCTTAATTTTATGAAGCTACACCACCCCCCACCCCCTTCCTGCCCCCATTCTTATTTTTATTGCACTCCAGAGCTTCTTGAAAGAGGGATAGTCAGAAATAACTGTAGTCAGTGCTTGGGTCATTGACGTATAGTCTGCCTCTGCTGAGACCTTTCTTCTCTGCTCTTTTGCCTGCTTATCTGACTGCCTGGGGGAGGCTGAAGCCACATTCCCAAGTCCATGTCAGGGCCTAAGGCCTCCCTTCTCTCTTCCTCTTCCCATCCTGCACACCCTTTCCTGGAATGTTTAGACTTCTGTGAGTTAAAGAGCCAGGGGTTCAGGCCCTGCTGCCTTCTCAGAAGGGTAGTGGAGCCTGAGAAACTGGGTGATGTAAAGGTTGTGCCTGGGGGCCCCAGACCTGAACCAACTGGAATAATTCCTACTGCCATTCCTGCAGCCGCAGGCAGGCCTTCTCAGTGACTCATGGCTGGAGCCTGAGTGAGAGTCTGCACAGGAGGGGGGCGAACTCAGCTTTGTGAGGAGGGGGCGGGGGCTACTCTCTGGCTCAGCCCCAGAAGAGGGAGGGTCAAATGGCCTTAGAATCCTAGGCCTAAATCTCTCTGTTTCTGCTATCCAGTGTGGGGTAAACAGGAACTGGAGCCTGGCTGAAGGGAGGGGCATGCCTGGGAGGGCTGCAGGGTCACTTGCTGGAGGGTTGAGTCAGGAAAAAAGCTCGACAGTGACCTGCACAATCCCACAGAGGACGTTGGCAGGAGTTCTGAGGGCTTCTTTTACCCCTCCCCCTCCTAGGTCTGTTCTCAGAGCGATGGGCCACAGAGACTGAGCTGCCGCCATGATTGGAGGCTTATTCATCTATAATCACAAGGGGGAGGTGCTCATCTCCCGTGTCTACCGAGATGATATCGGGTGAGTCCCTTGGCTTAGCCAGCTGTGCCCCCTACCACCCCCCACCCCCACCCCCCCCGACTCCTAGCCTCAGCATGCAGGACCCACCACAGGCTTGACTTGGGCCAGGCCCACTGCTGGCTGCATCCTGGAAGCTCAGCTGTACAGCCCGGTTCCCATTAGGTCTGGTGGTGCTGGTTGCTAGGTGGGGCCTGTGGAATGGCTGGCTCCCACAGCCTTAGGAACTCCTGCCCTTCCTGCCCCTTGTTTCCCTTCATTACAGGCCTGGTTGCTGGAGATGGGTGCTTTTGCCCAGGCAGGTTGATTCCTCCTTTGAGGAGAAGGGAGATCTGTCTGTAGTGGGTGGAGTTAATGGCCAGGCTGGAGTTACTAATCCTTCTAAGTCTTGCTCTCAAAAGCCCTTCGCATGTTGAGAGCCTTCACTGGATCCTCTTGAAAGCCTCTTCAGACTGCCGAATCCTCTCCCGCTCCCTGACAAGTCAGGCTGCTGACTCAGCTGTTTTCAGTTCCTCTGGCCATTCCTGGAGCAGAGGTTGTAAGCTTGAGGCACTCTCCTGGTCATTGAGGGAAGGGAAGGGAGGCCAGGCTGCCCTTTCTGGTTTATCAGAGTAGACCCAGAACAGCTTTATGTCCTGGGTCCTTCACACCTTCACAAGGAACCACAGCCTTAGTTCTCATTCTGCCCCATGCTGCATGCCGCTGTTCTTTCCTGACTGAGGGGACCTATTCTAGCCTCGGTATCTCTAATGAGATTAGGCTCTGGCTGCTGCTGCCTTGTTTTTCTTCCTCAAACAGTTTGAGATTAATAGTCACAGAATGAGCCTGTTCCAGTGCCCCTAGTTGCTTGACTCCTGGCTGATGGGCTGGCCCTGGCCTGGCCTTTGTGGCTGTTTGTCCACTGGCTGGTGTTGTGGTATGAGCTAGCACTGTGATAAGACCCAGCCTGTCTGAAGCTGGCTGGCCACAACCCCCCCACCCCCATCCCTCCTGTCCTAGGTGGACCTGGGTAAGTCAAGGCCAGGTCACACACCGCCTTGCATGTCTTGTCTGCTTCCACCTCATGGTGTGTACTGCCCTCCCTGGTGTGTCATGTGTCTAACCCTCTCTCTCGTTGCTGTCACTCTCCTCTTCTTGCTGGCGTCATTTCTCTCATCCCATCTCATTGGCTGCCGTAGCAATAGGTAAGCGGCTTCTCAAGCTGCCGCCCAGGTACAGGTGGGTGGGGGGCCCTGCCCCCCATCATTGTTTTTCTTCATCATTTTTTATCCCCTGAACTTGCTCTGGAGTTGGATCCTGGACAAGAATGGGTGGCACAGTTCTATGGCCCCTTAATGCTTCTCCCCCAGTGGATTAGAGCCTTCTCTGAAGTCATGCTGGCTTTGTCTAACTTATGTGGGAATTGGCCT